AACACAGCATAAAACTGCCGCGTTCCATTCTTCCGGGATAGTTTCCTTCACCCAGATCATATGAATGTGGTTGTGTTTTATTAATTCTTTTCCTTCCTTCTTTAGCAGCTCAGATGGTATTTCGTAAACATCCGGAGATTCATTGTTCTTAAGAGCCACAATTATTTCTTCTATTTCTTCCTTTTCGGGCAATATTACCTCTTCCTTCTAATATGTTTCCTCCATTTCCTTGTACTTCGTCTTTATTATTAAGTTTTATGCATTCTTGATTAAATAGTTCTGACAAATATTTCATTTATCTGCTTTTTGTTTCTTTTTTAGAATCCAGTAATTTTCCCTGTTTAGCTTTACAGTAATCCAGGTGCAGAGTAAAACTAGTCCTTGCATTTCTGATTCCTTTGTAAAATATTTAAGTTTCTTTTGGTGCATACTGCTCTAGTGTATCTTTTATTATTTCCCTTTCTCATGCTCTATTTTTCATTAGACATATTTCTTTTGCTCTTTAACTTTTCATAAACAAATTTTCTTTTGTCACTCTTATTTCCCACTTCAAAAATTTGTCTCTTGGGTCATTGACTTTCTTTCATTGCTTGAGTGTATTCTTCATCAAACCATTTCTTTCTTTCTTTTGTTTATATCCCAGCACTTCCGCAGCAACCTCTTTTAGAATGGTCCTAAGCCACCATCACTCTTCAACAGTAGCTTCTACATTGCTTTTATTTTAAGTGACCCATCCTTCAAAAATCTCTTTAATCCTCTCATCCCTCAGCCTATCTATCCTTTACACTCTTATGGTTTCTCCACTCACTCGTAATCCTCAGTTAATATTTAGCTCTTACTGAGAAATGATCAGTGTTACAGTCTGCTCCTCTACTCTAAACCTATGTGTGTCTAATATATGTGTTCCCATCAAGTGAAATCCAAGTTTCTTTGAGAATTTCTTTATGTGGGAAACAAGTACTACTTACTCCCATAGATGTCACAAAATCAATCAGTCTGATTCCATTTTCAATCATCATTGCTTGCTATATTTCCCAATAGTAGGAATACAACTCTTAACTTCATTCTAGAGAGGAAAAAAAGGAACTAGCTTGTTTTCTGATGGTGGAGCATATTAATGTATGTCCCGCTTTAGCATTCAGGAGTCTAGATTCAATCCGGCTAGGATGGGGTATAATTTATTTAGTGGGGGACCGAGAGAATGAATCTCCAACTCTGGTTGGAATAAATTTGATTGTGCCCATACAACAATAATTTCATTTTATATCCTCTAATAAACATATTTAAATTTAAAAAATCATGAAATTTGAAAAATAATATTTGTAAGCTATTTACCTATACATGAATTATTAACATTATTTTTGAAGAGAAGTTGGTTGGGGTGTTCAATGAAACATACAAAGTAAATCAATCATATTTTTAAAAAATAAAAATAAATGATGTCATTTATTTATTTTTACTTTGTATTTTTGACTGAACACCCCTACCAATCCATTATTATTATTTTTATAACATCTCGGAAAAGTTTCTAATGTTTATAATAGGAGTATCTATAAAAAAGAGAAGAAATAAAATTGCTTAATGATCGAGAACTTTAAACAGAAATGAAGGTACGTTAGACATTGGTGATAAGTAGAAACCCATGCAAAGCCAATTTCTGGTCAATATAGTTATCCCACTAATTCCAAACTTTTTTCAATGGAATACAATTTTAGTCTTCCAAATATCTAGAATCATTTTCACGACAAAATAGTGAAATAAAAAAAAATCATGTTTTGTATATGTTACTGTTTGCTAATTGTATCATGGTTTCTCATTAGAGTTTTATTTTAGTTCTTTAAAAATGGCCATAAAGTTCATAACTTCATATTCATAATTCATAGCTTCATTGGGAAGCTCATAACCTAATATTATTGAATGAAACATGATTTAATTTTCAGGATCCTCAGATTATTAAATCAGGAGAATCTGAAATAATAGCTCTCTTTTTTAGACACATTCTTGCCATTTGATTAAATAAAAACAATTATGTTAATTAAAACTCATAAAAGTTCTTAGCATAATTATGGCTATCTGTTTAATGATAAAGGATCAAAAATAAAGTGGGACTATAAAGAAAAACTTGATCATTATCAGAATATAGTAAGAATAAAGTTAGGCAGAGTCATTCTATGCCAAATCATCCAGAACCCGTAACTCATCCACTCAGATTTTAATGAAAATTTGTAAATATTAAGTAAATATACATGTAAGTAAAAATACCAAATTTTAGTGAATTCTAACAATTAGTTTCAGAATTATGGGCTTAAACTTTTGAATTATTTCAAGTTGGGAAGACATTTTGGGCTCAAAACCAGCATGTACCTGTTTGGTTTGCATTTGTAAAACCAATATTTATTGACCAAAAGCTTTTAAAATTCATTCATTTGTCATAAATTTCTAAAATTTCTCTCCAATTACTCCAATACAACAATATATTAATGAAAACCGCAGAGAATTCTCTACCAAATGCAAAAACAATATAGGTGGGCTTTGTAGTTTCAAGAATTTAATTACACTTTAAACCCAATAGAATAAATTTTAATTTACCAGTTACAAATTCAAGTGAAAATTGCTTAAATCTCTCTCCAAATATCCTAGTATAACCATATATTACTGAAAAGGGTCTTGGGTTCAGTTCTTGTAGGGAAGTAGTGTATTAAGTCCAACGGTTGTGCAGTGGCCGGGATCACATTCAACAGCCAAGTTTTCCCTCTTAATTAAGAATACCCACTTTATTGGTGCCACACTGGGTGTGGCATAGAAGGGTCTCCGGATTCCTAAGTCGATCCACATCTGATGGAAGAGAATAAATAATTAACTGCCACAACTAGACCCATATCTGTGACCTTGAGCACAGGAGCAGAGGAGTTACCTTACCCACTGAGCAGCCCCGCTACAATTATATATACAGTGACCTATAGAATGTAGCAATGATATGTACGTTCCTTTATTTGTCGCAGTGCCCTACCACAGAGCTACCCCGCTCCCTGGATAAATTAAAAATTATTGGTATACACAAGCTTGTATTTGTGTACTGATGATTATTATTTATTTTTCCACAATTGAAGAGGATCCCAATATTTATATAAGGAAAAAGTATCGAAGCATTGAATAAAAATAATAAACACTGCAGTTATTGTAGTTTATTAAATTATCACAAGTGACCAATTAGCCGATTATAACAATTATTTTAAATTAAAGTATTTAAGGGATGATAAAAAAAACAACTAATATATATATATATATATATATATATATATTTATAAAGAATGAGTGTGTAAATATATTCTGATAGTAATGTAATCATTTGCACCGCCTCTCCTGTTACAGTATTTATGAAATAATTTCCTTTTTTTTACATTAAACGTCATGTGGCTAATGGAATGGTTCATATTTTATGAGAAAACGTAATTTGCTTAAAATAATTTATAACATTTATTTCATATAAATGATTTAATGACTTAAAATAATTTTTAACATTTATATGACAAGGAGTTAATCGAGGGTGCGGTCAAATAAATAATAAATTAAAATATATTAATTATTTTAATTTTTGCCGACGTTTCGACCCACTTTGCAGGTCTTAGTTTGTTTTTCGACCCACTTAGTTTGTCAGTTGACTAAGTCAGTTAGTTTAGTTTGTTATACACTTACTCCTTATCTTTTATCGCAATCTGTTTACTTTTAACTTACATACTATATTCTCCTTTATTTTTATTCATACTTATTTTCCATTTATTTGTATCTTCTACATATATAATTCTTAATATTTAACTACATTGTCACCCACTATATCTCTGATACCATCTTTTATTTCTGTATCTGACAACTTCTTCTTATTTTATATATACTTATACTTATTTTTTATTTTCAACATGTTTTGTATCTTTTGTAGCCCTGAAGACGACCTGCAAAGTGGGTAAAAACGTCGGCAAAAATTAAAATAATTAATATGTTTTAATTTATTACTTATTAGACCGCACCCTCGACTAACTCCTTCTCATATTATATCAACGGTCAACCATCTCTACATCATTATAACATTTATATCTTTTTATAGCATTCTATTTCACCATTGGGCCTCCTATCTTATTAATTGATCATCATGATTTCATTGACCATTTTTTTATATACTAGCTTCCAACTGCAGATGTAGATCTCACTTTATGTAGAATCTTGAGTGCATCCAAAAGTAAACAGAGGCAACCGATCTCCTTACCATATCAAAAATATAAGATGATGAATCAAAAAGAGACATTACTTTATAACCACTGACAAGTACCCTTGCTTCGAAAGTCACCGACCTTCCTATTGGGGGTGCGTTTACCCCTTCAGCGAATCTACTCTCGAACATAATTGTTAACACTCAGCTATTTTATAAATTCCACTTGTCAACTAAATCTAACACTAGAACAATCTAACACTACCCTTTAATAGCAATCACAAAAATACACCATCTATTGACAATATTGAAGAGATATTGGTTGGGATGTTCAGTCAAAAAGTAACAAAGTAAAAATAAGTAAATTATGTTTATTTTTATTTTTTCCAGTGGATTAATTATTGACTGTCATAGATGTATTGAAGAAAATTTGTTTGGGGTATAATAATAATAGTATAATCCACTATCACCGTTATAATATATCATGAATTATTCCTAACACTGATATTACATAAAATACATTTATCATTAGTTCATCTCATTAAGTAAATTAAAAATCAGTAAATGAACCTGAATGCTAATATGAGTAATTTAAAATTATGTAATAGTAGCTAAAAATCAACAACAAATTCAATTAACGACAATTCATTTTTATTATGTATCAGGTAAATAAAACGGAATCAATTTGTTAAAAATATTAACAAAGGATCCTCATAATCAACATTAATTAATTCTTGGTTAATTCAACAATCGGAAATTTATTTATTTATTTAAATGACGTAATGAAAGTACTCACAGATTATAAACATAAAATTCCAATCACAAACATTCACTAATAGTTGATAAACTAACAAATGATCCCAGATTTGGATCTTGATAACAGCCTCCCCGACCCAAGACTGTCAACACTATCGAGATCTACTAGAGATTTATAAAACTCAAAAATAAGATCGATCATCAGAAACACAAAACGTCCCCGATTCCATGATAAAACATACAATAGACATAATGGCGATAAAAAATCTTAAAACAAATATGTCTTTAAATAAATCTTATTTAAAGATTACAAGTTTTAAATCAGGTGATAGATCATATTTATCTCACTTTATACAGAATCTTGGGTGCATCCAAAAGTATACGGAGACGACCGATATCCATAACATAGGAATAAATTATGGAAGATAAATGATGATAGATTAGAAAGAATTTGTATCCACTGACAAGCAAAGATAGGTAAATGCTACTCTGACTACTGAGTACCAAGTATTTTACTCAAATACTGGCCTTTTTTGAGTACCAAAGAATTTAATTACTTCAGTTGATATCAATGTAATGTGTTAGGGTAAGTTAGTATATCATGTACAGTAAAGGTGCAAGAATTGATCCCTGCAGTACTCCGGCCCTTACTGGATGTATGGAAGAAGTTTTCGAACCCTGTCGGACAGAGAAAAATCTGTTTGAAAGGAAGGAGAGAAGAACGAGGTAATAGGTAGAAGGCAGAAATGATTTAAGTTTGTAGAGCAGTCCATCGTGCCAGACTCTGTCGAATGTTTGAGCAACATCCAGAAATACGCCAGTAGCGTATGATCTTCCTTCTAGTTCAATTGAAATGTAGTCCGTGATTCTGTGCAGTTGATGTATGGTTGAACGTAGTGAACGGAATCCGAATTGGTGTTCAGGTAGACTTTGGTTCTCTGTTAATATGTTGATTATGAGTCTGTAAAATAATATTTCAAAAATTTTAGAGCAAACCGCCAGAATTCTCTATGTTTTTTTATCTTGTCCGTTCTAACGCTGAAGAAGACCTGCAAAGTCGGGTCGAAACGTCGGCTTTAAATAAAATAGTTTTACCACTATTTAGCCTATTTATGACCGCCACCCCGAACCATCTCCTTCCTTTATAATGCAACGGTCAACTATTAAATATTCAATAAAACCAGTTAATATTTAAATTTTGATTAATTTTGTATATTTTGATTAATTTTTTGACTAGTTGTCTCTGTGTTTTTATAGTGTTTAAAAGCTTTATCCTATTGCTTACAACCTTTTCTTTAGTATCACAAAACATTATTTATCTAAGTATTCAAAATATTTAGAAGGTGTACGAAATTTTAAACTGTAATAATATTGTTGGGAGGTAAAAAACGGTTTTGAATCTCCTCATGAAGTACATTTAATTATTAATTGGTCATAAAATATCATAAATACATCCACTATGAAAGGCGCAAAAGGAGGAAGATAAAGAACAAGAAGACATGATATGTAAAGTAAAAGCGCGAGAATTTGAATAAATAAGATTCGAACCATAAAAAATTGCATTTTCTTACAAAAAATGTCACATTCTAGAATAAATTAGTTACAATACATTCTATGATACATATTTATCTGTAAATAAGTGGATCATTCAAAATTTTGATAAAGCGATCCATTCTTGTAATTGTGCGAAGGCTAATTTTCACATTAGATACAGAAAACAAAACATAAGCATACCTTCGGCAAGTATTGGAGCGATTCCTTCGAGCCTGTGCAGTCGAAAACGCTCTTGTACTGTTGTAGATGTTTGACGTCCTCCATCATGTATTGTTATTGTATATTCAAGGTAATCACTGTCCTGGTAACGTCTCCATGCGCGACTTGCCATACTTTGTGAGGTTCGTAGTCTTGCTGCCACATTTCTCTGGGTATCACCTTCAATCAAATCAACAACAGCTGTTGCAAGCTCTACTGCTGTGAGAGGAGCAGACATTCTTTAAAACCCATAAAAAAAAAAAAAAAAAAAAAAAAAAAAAAATGATAATAGAAACGTTTAGTGAAAAATAGGTTTACGCAAAATAAAGTGAAGTGAAAACTAGCTGTAAACGAATTAAACTGAGGATAATCCCCTCTTTTGTTTATATTTGAGAGAGTTTATTTAAAAGGAATTAGCACATTCTGAGTTTAAACAATCATCAGGTGTCATATTAGAAAAATTATTGACCCCTCAATAACAGTTAATGCAATAGTCCACTTCATTTGCAAATGAGTATATTTGCTCTGTATCAGTCACTGAGTTAAATTACATTTTATTACGTAACCGCAAATGTTTTGCATTCTATTTCAATTTATCACCGGTGCAGAAGAGGAAAATGGGAGAATAAATAAGGTACTTTCACATGTACATGTAAAATGTTTATATGTAAAACAATTTATTTTGCAGTACGATTAGGATTTTGAAATTATATTAATAAATTTTATGATTTTATCAACAAGACCTATTAACGAACTTGAATCAATCCCAGGTGGAGCAAAATGGCAATTGGGTTGCAACATTGCTTATCTTGTCTAACTTGCCTATGAGTTAGATCAGGGATCGCCAAAGTACGGCCCACGAGCACTTCCAATCCGGTCCGCGAAAGGTTCTTTGAAACATGGTGAAATGTTAAAAAATACGGAACTTAGCTAATTATTCACACAAGAGCTTAACATAGCATTACTTGCACGTGTTTTGCTCTCTTAGAAAGCTTATTTCATAATTGAAGTATCATTTGTAGTAAACGATTTTTTTTCACCACTAGTCATTACTCGCGAGACTCCGTGGAGGTCTCAATGTGGCCCGCAAGCCAAAATGTAGGGGGTCTCTGAGTTATACGATCTGTTTCTAGATAAAATAATTCCAAAAACATTTGTGAACGAGCAACAGCTCGAGATGGATTTGCCAAGAAATATTCTTGGAGTTATAAAGTATTAAATCAAGACTTCAGCAAATTAATCTTAACGGGAAACAGGTATTAACAAGATCTCAATGCACACCACTTAGCAAAGGTGTAATGACCCAAATCTTTTCAATCCAGCACAAAAATGGTTTTTAACTATAAGGTCAAACAGGGTTTGAAATAGTGTTAGCATAGAAGAACATATATATGTGTGTATCTAGTTTCATGTTAGGAACGATTTATCACCTAATTACAAGTTCGCTCGTAAAAAGCGACACAATTTCCTCAAATTCTTTTTTTTTTTTTTTTTTATGGACATCTTTAATAAACTTTCTTATGGATTATTTATTAATTTATTAAAAATACAGGACTCATCATCCTTTGGAGATTCGACTATTCAAAGAATATACTGGATCAATAACGGTCGTACTGAATCTACAGGTACTTAATTTCTTCTCTATTAACTACTTTTTTTTACATAATGTTTTGATGTCATTGAAGATACGGACATACTTCGAGCATGAAATGGAAATTTCACTTATAACCTTAAATTACCTACGTAAATTAACTTAAAGTCGAATAACTAAGTATGCAAACAAATCTTGTATATACCGGGCTTTGTTCTCCTTTTTTTTTGGTAACTAACCTGCTTCTGGAAGATGGAGGTAGAAGACTGTTATATCATTTAGGAATCTGGGAAGTTGGTGTTCCAGAAATTCAGCACATTTGTTTACAGTTGAGCCGTTAACTCTCATAATTTTTTATTTGATTTTTCGGGATGTAAATTATGCCTAAATATCTTTTATACCTGCACAGTTGTTGAGGTAGGTATTTTAAAATTTACAAGTTTCACTCAAGCTTTTGTTATTGTTGTGTACTTTCTGTGACTTTATATTAATACAAGGCTATCTATTGGATATTACAACAATGAATGATGATATTAAAGAAGAACTAAGGGCAGCTGTCCTAGATGGAGATCTAGAACAGGTTAAAGCTCTTTTGGCAGCAGGTGCTGACATCAATGCTCGCTTGGGAATATATGAAGACACTTTGTTACATTTGGCTCATACAGTAGATGTTGTGCAAGAGTTATTGTTCCATGAGCCAAATGTCAATGCTAGGAACAATTATGGTTGGGCACCGCTTCATTGTGCTGTTGAATTCAGAAAAGGAGTTGCAGTTATGGGAGAAGTTTTACGTCATGAAGTGGATGTTAATGCTAGACCAAATGAAACAGAGACTGTTCTGTTTGTTGCTGTATTCACTTGCTATAATGACCTAGAAATAGTTAAAAGGCTACTTGATTGTGGAGCAGACATTAACATTACATGTCTTGAACATTCATCTGAAGATGACCATTATTGTACTCCTTTAGATATGTGTGTAGTGGAGGGAGATTTACAATGTTCCAAACTATTTATTAAAATCACCCTTCTAAAAAATTTTAATGATGATTACAAAAAACTTATCAGTCTAGACAATTATGTTGGTTATGAAATTCATCAAGAGTTGGCTGGTTATTTAGAAGATTGTGTAAGAGAAATTCTTAATATGAGAACTTACAAAGTCAATGATAAGTATTCATTGTATCATTTTGTCAAAAGGAAAAAGGGATGTATTAAGCCTCTCTATGCAACTGTTGATATTGATGAAGAAGAGATTTTGGCCAATTACCCTATTTATCAGGATGTCATATTGCCGAGGATCGAACAATGCCAGGAACGGGCTAATCTCTTTGATCAGATCCCAGGTTTACATATGTGTGCTTTTTCTGAGGTTACTAGTGCAAGTTCTGAAAAGCGTTTGGTCATACTGAATGTTGATTGTAAATATAAAATTGCTGAATTTCTGTCCAACAATGACTTATCAAACCTTGTAACAGCATTTGAAAAAAATCTCTTTTAAACATTTCAGTCCATGACTGTAACACATTCAGTATTTGGCAGAACTGCATTTTCACTACTTGTAACTGTAAAATATCATGATAAATTTTTATAAATAATCAGTATTATTAAAAACAAAAGTATTATTTATTGTATTAAGTTTAGGTGATATAAATGTGCTTAAAATGGAGATTTTTTGGTTTTAGAACCATTTACATTAATTTTGTATAGCAATGCTAAACATTGATTAAGTAGATATATATTTTTTTACCTTTTATATGATTTAATTAAATACTGATTTAGAAACAGATTGTGGTACAAGTGTGATGGAGTTTGTAGGAACAGAGTAATTATGTGCCGAGGTTTTATTATAGTTAAAATATGTACAAGTTTTTTGTTAGTTTTTGAGTAAATTGTTTGTTTTTTTCTCTAATGACCTGTTATTGTGCCCAGTAATAATTATTGATATCGTCTTAAAGACGTATTATTATCTGTAGGCTGCAATGTGGTGTCAATGAAAGAGTGGTTAATTTTCTTTATTTTTGTAAGGTTTATATTCTACTTGTGTATATATAAATATATATATATTATATGGAAAATCTCAAAGACATATTTTACATTTGTATTTATGGAGGATTTCGGTTAAGGATTGCCATTCTAAATGTAAGCTCTATCAAAAGAGACTGACTCTTAAGACATGATTTGTTCTAAGATTTTTTATGCTTTAGAGTATTTTCCTTTAATGAAACCAAAGATTAAACTTTCTTGACTTTTATCAGTCAAAATTTAAGTCTTCGATTTACTCGGAGGATGTGGTATTTAATAGTCATTCGTTTTCTTACTTGAGTAATTTAGTTTATTATTTTCTACCAAGTTTTTAATATCATACATGATTTTAATCATGGAGAATAAACTTGCATCTAGTCAGTTACTTTTTGTCCTACATCTTTATTATGTTAAAGTCGTAATTGGTAATGAATATGTATTAAATAATTCTACTGGAATATATATTGGTAGTCTGTTGGAAAGGCAGGGTATACTTACATTTAATCATCTAAATGTACTTCAAAGTTTTTTATGTCTCAAAAATGATTCAAGCTCATTGTTCTGTTTTTAAATGCATTTGAAAATATGGTTTCTGAAATTTCAACTTTATATTATTTTTGAAATAAATATCCTGTAAGATAATTTCTAAACTATTTGTCATCAGTTTTAGTTTATCCTTTAGAACTGAATTGGCATTGAACAGTAAATATGCTCATCTCAATCTCTAAGAATTTGTATCATGTATGTATATTTATTTTTTTAAATTTACATTATACTGAGATATAATATATACTAATGAATGTGTGATTTAGAATCATTTTCTTATGAATGTTGTGTGAATTAATGTGTTATATGTTTAGTAGCAATAGAATATAATTTAGGTCTTGAATTAGAATTAGAAGTTTGGATTACACATCTTGGTCAATCCTACTGAAAGAAACCTATTTTGTTTAATATGAGGCCAAGTGTAATTCATGTCCCTTTCAAATCTTTAAGTCTAATGATGTGTGCATTTATTTACTTGCATTAAGTTAAAAAATGTATTAAATGAGATTAATTTACATTTAAGGAAATAAAAGCTGTGTATTTATTTAAAAAGTACCTGTTAAGAGTATTGTTTTTTATTTTCGGACTTAAGTATGGCTTGTGACATTAGTAAATATATTTTAAAGAATAAGCATTTATTAATGTTATGAACATTAGTTGTTAATTAATTGTTATAGAGTAGGTGAATTTTATGGATTAAAATATTTGTTTTAAACCTTAGGCATTGAATAATAATTCTACCATATTATTCATTTGATAAACGGAAAGTCTTGCATTTATTTAGAAAACAAAAATATCAAACAATCCATAGGGACCGTCCTTTGTTAATGACTATATTTACAGAAACTTTTTCAATATCAGAAATTTTTCATTGACCGATTTATAAGTCTGTTCTGGCTGCATTGTCATATATTTTTGTTATAAAACATATATCTTATAGTAGTAATTTGGTGTTAAGTAATATATGGTTTAACCAGCATCTGTCTGTAACTGTTATCTGAAAAGCTGTCATGTTCCAATAAATATAAATGTTACAAATATATTTTCTTTTTTAAATAAAATTACTGTGTTCATAAATATAAGAAAAACTAATGTTCCACACTCAGGTTTATACTGATGATTTCAATCGGAGAGCAGTGAGCAGAAGGGAATCAAAGAGAAAGTGAATTAAGAAGTGTTTGGAATGGAATTAGTGCTGACTGTTTTAAATAGAAAAGAACTATCTCTTGGTCTTCAAAGTATCTTCAATGGAAACTTTAAGTAAAAAAAATATTAGAAATAGAATGTTAGGTTTCTAAATGAAAAGAACTTCATTCTATTAAATGCTGTAAAATTAAAGATATAATAAGTAAAAGGTACTTTTATAAGTGCTGTATCCAACTATTCACAGATTTGTTTTTATAAAACAATGGACTAGTGTAAGAACCAGATTAGAGAAGTAATGTTAATAAATACAGCAGGAGTGACTGACAGACTTTTTGTTTCCTACATTTAGACAAATGCACCCTTCTCTGGCATCTATTCAATATACCCCTCACAGTTACTAAATACTGTTAAAAACAATACAATATATGCACTAGGATTGTAATTTTTATCTATATCAAACATCTGAAATACCCTTTCATCCTAGAAAGAAAACCTGATATTTTTATTTTATATTAAAAAAATCTGGTGCAGTACTTGTATCACATAACTTTCACACCATCCTGCTTTGAATAGAAATGTGAGTTATAGAAGGTATCACAAATTTGATATTTAAGGATTTAAACATTGCGCCATTCTAAACTAGACAAAATATACTTGAAACAAAAGTAGATTTTTTCACTGTTAAAACCAGTTAAGTTAAAAGAGGATTATTGAGCTAACAAACTCAGTCAAGTTCTTTTTTAAAAAAAGTCAACTATTTGTTATTTTATTTTATCACAACTGGACTATAGTTACCTCACTTTTTAGAAAAAACTTCCTCGTTCAATAAGCTTCAAGTCCATATTAATTGAGTTGAGATTTATTAGGAAAAATTTTGAGATTTACATCAAGTTGTGTAAAGAAATGATGTGGTTTCCTATCTAGTCACCTTAAAGTACATGTGAATTGACTAAAATTAACTGTTGCAAAGCTTTTATTACTCATTTTCCCCTGATATGGTATGTATTGTAATAAACATAAATGCCTAAAAACACATTTTATTTATAAAAATGTCTGCTCGATAATAATTGAAAAAAACAAATTTAAACCAATTGAGCAGTCACATATCAATTGCAAACCCCCATAGATGGGTTGGGCTCCTCTTGATATAGAGCAGGGGTCTCCAAACTGCGGTCCACGAAAATTCCTTTGATTACATGATAAAATTTAATTTTTTTTCTAAATATGAAATTTAGGCAAATTACTCGCACACGAGGTTACAGTAACATACATTATATGTTTTTTTCTCTGTAAGAAAGCTCATTTCACAGCTGAAGTATCATTTATAGATCAAGAATTTATTTTTCATCACAACCCATGGCCCACGGGACTTGGACAGAGAAGTTAATACAGGCCACCAAAAGTTTGAAGACCCCCGGATATATCAACTTTTTTTCTTTTTCATCTAGAAATATTGAATTTCTTTATTAGGAAACAAATTTTCTACTCATTAAATGAAATTTCTTAGAAAGAAGTTAGTATTTAAAAAATTAATGACATGTAAACCTTAAGATTTCTTTGTTGATATGAAAAGTTTATATATTAACTAAAAAGAAAACAAGCTCTGGAAAAGAATATTATAAACTAGATCTGGTGATTGAGCTTAGATTTATATTGAACTTTTGTCTAGTCAGACTTACCTTTGTGAATAACATTGAACAACAGTAGGAAAAAACTTTGGCAAAATATCAAAAATATTATTTCTCTAATAAATTCTAAAAATTCTTTTAATTTTTTACTACTTTTAAATCGATGTATAAGTATATATAAACAATGAACAAATAACTACATTTTGTCTATTATTTTTTTATTCATAAAAAGAATTATATATAAAACAATTGATTTTGGAATAGGATTTTTTTTTTTTTACCACATTTACATACATTGTAACATTGAAATACTATAAATTTATATAATTTTAAAAGAAAGTTTTCAATTAATTTGTTATTCACTCATAAAAGTTATACCGTTAATTGCAATATAAGAATTGAACAGACTATGACTAGGCGGTAGGATACCTCTGTTATTGAAGCTGCCAATCAAGAGAGTAATTAATTAACTCATTCGCCAACTGATTACTGAAATTAATTTATAATATGGCTGTATAGTAAGGGTAAATATTGCAATCATGAAAATTTTCGAGTCTGAGTTTTCAACGGAAATAAACCCTGTTTGTACTTTACAATACACTAGTTTTGAGTTACCATGAGTCAAAATAACCAAGTCTCGAAAAATGGTCTGTGTGTCTCTGAAAACTCTAGCTTGAAAACGAAAAGTCTTATGAAACTGATATTACGTATTTAAGATAGGTATATGCCTTAGATGTCCTAGCAACTTTTTTGGTTAAAATCGACTTATCGGAAGTGCCACTTTATATCAGAAATACATTTTTACAATTTTCTCAAAATCTGCTTTAACGATTTTGATTAAACTTGATGTATCATTGCATAATTAAGTGGTCTTCAATATCATTTAGGTCTTATCCCTGTTAATGCCATTTTATAGAGATTAAATGCTGAATGTTCTCTAAAGTACCTTTAATATGGTTTATTTTAAATAATTAACTATCATTCATTATTAAGAGTTATGAGAAAATGCTAAATATAACTTTTGAAAGAATTTGATAATCGAATAAAGGAGAAAAAAATAAAAATGCTTATCCAGATCAAAAATGAATCTCTGGAAATACTAGTCAGAAGGATATGTATAACGTATCATTGGAAAGCAGAGAATTTTAGAAAAAACAATATCTAATATAGAAAGTTGTAGAAGGTAACGGAGAGTGGCTAAAAAATTATAAATAATAATTTTTTGAAACTAATAATATTTAATGTAAATCAAATTTTATTACTAAATGTAACCTTTTAAAATATTTTTTAGTTTGAAAATTTTTTTAAAAATCCACCTAACCAAGGCAATGACTTTGTTTAAAAAGCTATTTCAGTGTATAATTGGTAATTGGTTGACTGTCGTGGATAATGAAGAGAAGAATAGTTGGGGTGGTCAGTCAAAAAGGAAGGCAAAAATAAATGATAATATTTATTTTTTACATATGCCGAGGTTTCGACCTGAAGTTCAGGCCTTCATCAGGGCTAAGAAAATAACCAGATAACAAGGTATGAGAAACATAAGTAATGATGGTAAAAAAGATAATAAAAAAAAAAAAAAAAAAAATTAGAAAAATAAAATAGATGAATATAAAGTAAAATGAAATTCATAATTGGTAATTGGTTGACTGTCGTGGATAATGAAGAGAAGAATAGTTGGGGTGCTCAGTCAAAAAGGAAGGCAAAAAATAATTATAATATTTATTTCTTACATATGCCGTTGAATTGTAAAATGAAATTGTTAGAATAATGACTAAGAACTAAGAGATAAATAATAAAAACCGTTACAAAGTGTGGAATGATGAAGTAGGTATAATCAAAAAGGGTGACAAAAGTGTTACAATGGGAATCTTAGAATAAAATATAAAACATAAAAAAGAAATATGAAGTTATATAAGAAATGAAAATAAATAGTAAAATTAAAACATTGAGAATGGAGTAGTTAGATAGAAAATTGAAATAGATTTCTTCCCTCCTTCCTTTTCTCTGTTTTTAACTCTTTATTATATTATACACTGTCTGTACATCTTGATAGACTTTACAATATCTCAATTTTCTATCTAACTACTCCATTCTCAATGTTTTAATTTTACTAATTATTTTCATTTCTTATATAACTTCATATTTCTTTTTTATGTTTTATATTTTATTCTAAGATTCCCATTGTAACACTTTTGGATTATGCCTACTTCATCATTCCACTTTGTAACGGTTTTTATTATTTATCTCTTAGTTCTTAGTCATTATTCTAACAATTTC